CTGACAACAGAATTGTAGTTGCTGTTTGTTGTGTAGTTGGCAGTGGTGGCGCAGTTTGGGTAGATACAACACAGAGTGATCATTAGATCCAAAACACAGGCGCCCAAGCTGTCTTCACCTGACGGTTACAGACTTGGAGACACGCCTTCACAATACTGCACAAAACCCATGCAGTAGAATAGAGTCAGTTCTTGCATACAAATCCCAACACAGACTGCTAACTACACAAATGTACCAAAGAGAAAGGGCTGTGTCGCATGGTCTTTTTGGCCGATTGTTCCTCAAGTCTACCCTGCAGAAAGTGTAGCTTGCGGGTACAGCAGGACAGCATGCATGTGTGTAAATGATGTACAGCAGACGAATCTAGTCTAGGATGAGTACCGAGCATAGAATAGGCACACCTTGCTGTTGCTCTTCCTGCTGCTAGTCCAGTCCGACTACCGCCGACGAAAGTAGACAAACTAGGCGGCAGCTTGCTTCACGAAAAATTCATGACCGCCCTGCCCCTTCGGTGAAGCGCGGTCTATATCCTGCTAGGAGCGCGGTAGACTGTCCATTGCACTCTGTGTTTGTGTGTGTGCACACCTTTACATTTTTTATCTGCCGTAGCTGGTCACCCCCCTTGACCTCCACCTACGCGATTTGGCTCCCTCTCTCGCGGGTGTGATTAGGTACCACACCGCAAGGCACGAAGAAGATGAAGACCTTCGCGGAGGCAGGGCAGAAGGTGATTGAGTCGATGCGGTCCAACTCGCGAGAAAACACCACCGTGGCCACCACCATCAGCGGCAATGGTGCCACGTGGGCGCCAACCATTATCTTCAAAAGACAGCGACTCCAGCCTGACTGGTTCGTCGAGAGGAACGGCCCGAAGGATGCGAGGTACACGTGCACGGACTCTTCGGTCATGCAGGGCGACGTGTTCATCAAGTACCTCAAGGACCTCCACAAGCANCCCTATCAAACGGTTATCTTACCAGTCTGCGTGACACTAAATCATCCAGCACATGTATCCAACAGCAATGTTCGCAGACTCACGAACAGCTTTTGGAACCTTCAAGAAGGAGGTGAGTAAAGTGCTGCAAGACTACTACCACGCAAACGGCGGGTTGTTACCGCTGAAGCGTGACGTGCCCGGCGTGATCGCGGCGGCTTGGCAAAAGAGCTTGACACCGGAGCGGAACAAAGCATCCTTCGGCGGGGCGGGGCTGTGGNGGGCGGGGCTGTGGCCTGTGGACATGGATCGAGCGCTGACCCGGCTTCAGGGCACGGCGAAGAGGAAAGAGGGACCGACCGGGCGCCCACCCCTAGAGGACGTCCCCATCGCCATGTCCCACGAGCAGCTGGAAGAGGCCATCGGAGAGAGGGGCCTGAGGCAGTTGAAGGCGGGAGGACATACCATTACCGGACTCAAGGTAGGCACGGTGATGCTCGGCGGTCTCTTGACTCAGAGGAAGTGCGCCAAGAAACTGGCTCTTTGGGCCTTCCCGACGGAGGCAACATCAACTCGGAAGAATTCCTGGCAAAGGTTGACGCAAAGGAACGCGCAGACAAGGCAGAGACCGAGGCG